TACCGGTGTTTATTTTTGTTATGATATGAATTTTTAAAATACCGCAATACCCCGGTGATGCCCCTGTGTATGTCGCTTAAACAACGTTCGGAACGCGACACTGTTTGAAAGGGATCCCTTTTCACTGTTTCACTGTGGTGAGGGAACAGCTGTATGTGTTACTAAGCGTGAAAGTTATGCTGGACATTGAAGATAAATTTAAACATTTAAACTAGTAACCCTTGATATTCTGAAATGTTTAATGCTATTTAAATGATAGCTTTAGTATTTACAATATTAGTAAAAGTTTAAAGTTTCTCCTAAAATAAGACTGAAGACATCTTAAGACAAAGCTGATATCTCAAAGAGACATATAAGAGAATCACCCCTTAGTATCCTGAGCGTAGAGTAACCTCTGTCAGAGCCATAGCCTTGTGGGTATGGGATTACATCTCTGCCACAATTCTGCGCGCGAAAGATCATATTTTGAGCGCGCAAAGTGCGTTTTGCACGCGCGTGATCTGAGTTTTGTGGAGAAAATGTTCGTTTCGCAAAGAAGAAAATATTTAGAGCACACTAAAATCAATTTTGCATTTAAAATAAGTTTTTGGATGTGTGCAACGTTTCACTAGCTTGCTCACCTGATGCCCGCCCTCAGTGCTCTCTAAATGCCAACGGCTCGCTTGTTCAACACAACCCAGCGTTACAATATGCCATAATTCTAGCCAATCAGAGAGGAGGCTGCTAAATTCTGATTGGCTGCCTTGACAACCAATCACAACATTCCTTGCATTACCTCGACAGCAAAAGAGGAAAAATACAGTGCATCCATAATTATTATGCAAGTTGATATTGGCCCGTGACAACCTCTACATGAACACACCTGGCTAAATAAAGTCTGGGGGACGAATTTACATTTTATTAAAATTAAATATTTATTAAATATTAAAAATGCAGCTAACGTAGTTCTACACACAACATCAATATTAACAAAGGTGCCTGTTCTCCTTCGTTCTTGCTGATTGGTTGAGAAAACTTTAACGGGCATCGAGGGGTCTTGTCTTTTTTATGTTATCTGACTAAAAACTATTCATACTTTTAACTATTATTATTACAGTATTTATTTTAAAAACGTAGAGTGCCTTAAAAATAATTATCACAACACTGTTAAAACAGGCTTATACTGATTTTCTCATCCTCCGAATTATCAAACCTGTTTTTATTATCATTATCATTAAAAAAATGAATAAATTCAGAACAGGATTAGAATAGAATTATATTTTAAATAGGGATGCACTGATACCACTTTTTCCAGTACTCGCCCGATACCGATACTTTTATTTTTGGTACTTGTCGATACCGAGTACCGATACCAATATTTTCATTGCATTTGTAAATTTTTTAAATATTGGCTTCAGAAACCAAAAGAATATGTATAATGTTAGTTGGCTTAGGCCTACTTCATTTATCGA